GTGTGTGTGCGTGTGTGTGTGTGTGTGTTTGTGTGTGTGTGTGTGTGTGTGTGTGAATCTGGGAAAAGTTTGCTTTCCACGTGAATGGAAATATAGCAGGGAACATTTTTACAAAAATTAGCTCTAAGGTTTTGCCTGTTCTACATCCGCAGCAATGATTTGAAGAATGAAAGAAGAAAGGGAAACTGCCTGCCAGTAATACACTGATCAATATCGGCATCTCTACAATCATTTTGACAGCTTTACGAGCTTCTTTGGATGCTTCACTTTTTTCTTCATGTGCTTAACAATTTATACCTTAATTTTTTTTTTTTTTTTTACATACATTTTATGTGAAGAGCAGTTTTCTTGTTCATATTCTAGCAGCATCAGCAGAGCGTGGTTCGGCTCGTGGTCGCTACAAGCACAAGTCTCCAATGTCTTCCTCTGATAGGTCATATCAGGTCTGTTCACCTGATGGGAGAACATTTTCTAAACGAGGCAATCCGTTTGGACAAAAATTTAAAACCTACGTTAAGAAGACATGTAGGCGATATTTTCCACATTTTCTGCTTTTGGATTTTTTTGGGAGAGGAGTGGAGGGAGGAGTAGGGGTATATATTTATGTATAAGGGTATGTATTTTATTATTTTGAAAGATGAGCCATTTTTTGCATCAAAAATGTTAATTTCAGACCCATTATGAAAGGTCTGAAATTAAGTTTTGTCATTTTTGACAAATTGTTGAAGTTCTTACCTTTTCAGGGTGGGACTCGTCAGCTCCAGGTGCTGCCGGAAAGCTCCTGGAGCTTAATTAATTAATTACAATTAAGAAGAGTAATACTCTTGAGGAATTGTATTTAATTACATTTATTCTTTGAATGACCTTAGATCAGTTTAGTTCTAATGATTTACATGCATGTAAATATTTGTACCATTTATTGTTTTTTATTAGGTTTGTGTAAATGTTTGTTTTTATCACCCCTTTACCTGCTATGAGTTGGAGTTAGTTGAGTATCTTTACCGATCTCCCTGATCAGCTGTGATTCTCCGGTCTGCTCCAGCTCCTTTAAGGACAGACTTAACCTTTAGTCTTTGTTGTGGAGCAGCATCACAGCTGTTTTAGTGCTTTCCAGGTCTCAGGTTTTTATTTAAAGCATTCCAGCAGAATCACAATTAGATGATGGGTCTATAATGGAACCACTGTTGTTTTGGCTCTGCTGTCATCTCTTTTAAGGATATGTCTGTTACGCAGCTGATATCCAGTTGTATATTCCTCGTCTCCCTAATGAGGTTTCAAAAACAGCACATTTTAGTAAAATGTCAAGCTTTCAACTAAAAGCTGGCAGATTTCTTCAAGTAAGTAGAGAAAAAAACTTTATTAAATTTGTTTGCTAAATCTACTGTTGGAAACCTTGAGATGACCTTTGACTTAGGTTTTATGCTTTGAAATTCATATCAATTATCTGGTTTGGTCCAGTTTGAGAAATGATGCCAAATTGAGCTCCATTGATTTTTCTCCTAAAATAGAATCTTTTCTTCGAGACTTTTTGTCTCATCTGTGTTACTGCAATGGACTCTACAAAACGCAAAACGTTTCTGGACCAGTCGCAGTCTGTACAAAATGTTGCTGCTAAATAGTCATTTTTTATTTCTATGTGATTCTACTGCTAATCCATCTGCATTTGCTCCCAGTAGATCTTCCACTGAATATCCAGTTCAGAGCAGACAGGACTGATGCATCCTTACACCCCACATGAGGAAACCCACACCAATAAGTTCATCTTGAAAGGTGCTGTATAAATAAAGATTTATACTGACTTTACTACAACATTACGAAAGAACATCAAGAGTCAAACACAATTGAAAAGCTATTCCATTTTTTATGACACAAGTTTGACATTTAAGAAAACTAAAAGAAAAAGAAAGGGGGAAAAAACCATGCATTTTGTTAAACTAAAATTGGGTTGAGATGGCAGCGAAAGGCAACACACAGTTCAGAATACATGAATACACAATCTTCCTTTTGGTGACCTTTTTGAATGATTGTGACATTTTATTCCAATACATAAATTCATAAATTACAATCTCCTCTCTTTATATTGCCCGTCTCTATGAGTCTCAAACATCTAGCTGTACATCATCACATCGCAGCATATATTGCATATCTCAAATCGAGGTGGGGTAGTCATTTAATACGCCGACTTCCTCGCAGAAGGGAGGTAATGCAATTGGGTTAGCTTAACGACGGGGATGAAGACGAAGCAGTGATCATAAACACCCAGGTTTCCTCTCTCTTGTCTGAAACAAGCACAAAGAAATCCTGCATAGTGTTGACATCAACATCTTGGTATGAAGGTGTTTGTTTGTATGACATATGTATGATTTTTTTTGTGTGCATTTGTCCACCTGAGGTCTATCTGGTTGGATATTTATGGACTGTGACATGTACTAAACGGTTCGTAATCACTTTTAGTCAACACAAGTGCTCAGATATAAACATACAACATCAATTTAACCAACATTGCTCACTATGCTGTTTTCTAAAGACGTGCTACACTCAAGCAGACCTGGGTCAAATAACTTTTGGGCTCAATAAAAAAAAAAAAAAAAAAACTGACTCGACCACATAGATTTTATAGGAAATCTATGTGGTCGATTGCGTAAAGAAGCTGCAGTCTGGATCCTTTTTAAAAACGTGTGTTCTGTTTTTTTTAATATTTGTTAACACTGTCACCTTGTTGTCACAGTATGGTACGAGACACATAATCTGTGACAAAATGGAGCTCCTCCTCCTCATCCCTGAACTGCAGTTCAGGGATGAGGAGGTACCGCTCCCGGTCAAAACAACCAATCAGAGTGAAGGGGAGGGTCTTAGTGCTGTTAAATGTGCTAATGGCGGAGAAACAAGTTACCATTTTATTCAGAAAACTGAAAACATGGTCATCGCAGGCCTTGCTAACTAGCTTTAGCATTCATGTTGTGGTGAACCAGCTGTAGTGTAGTAGAAAGCAAGAGAAAGTGTATGAGCGGCGTGTGGACGAGAGTGATTGACAGCTCGATTTTTTTTTTTTATGAGACAGACATCTGCCTCATACCATAATGTGACGACACGGTGACATTTTTGTCAAAGTTACATACTGCAAGTTGAAGTATCATAACAGAGGTCTCTTTATATTCTGTTTGGATTGGATCAGTAGTAGAACTTTAGGATGACCTTTCCAGCACTCGTTTTTGTTAGATGTGTGTCTTTGCAACTCAAATAATCAATAGTGTTTCCGAGCCAATAAGATAGATATTAGCCCTGCTAAAAACAAACAGAAAAACTTTGGATCAGTTTGCCTCTATGGCAATTTGTTCTCAGTTGAAATCACATAACTTCTTTTCTTTGTAGTAGACTACGAATAAATGTTTACAAAAATTAAAAATTATCTGGACTCCCTTCTTACCAATGTGGGGATGAAAATTCCTCATTGTTGGTACCCGACAGTTGGTCGGGTACCAACAATGTGTCCAAAGCGACGCACAAAACAAACTGAACTGCAAAAGTAGGAAAGATGGCACCCTGCCAATTAAGACTCACAAGAAAAACCACTCAGAAAATCCCCAAAAACAAAGAAAAAGGTGTTAATGAAGGCTGTGCTTTAGCTAAGCTGGTCAGACCGGCTTAAACCAGATCCCTTTAAGCCTGTCCTAAGACGTCCCCAACAGCTAACAAGGACCTGTTGTCTTCTTGCAGCAACTGAGAAAGTGTTCATTATTCTGATATAAATGTGATCATCTCACCTCTACGGTTACTTACTCTTTTCAAATATATTTTGGAGGTTTAGTATGGAAACACTATTGCCTACATTTTCCATGTCTAAAGTCATGAGGTCTTTCAGGTCAATGCAGGTGCCTTGATAATATTTTCTAATAAAACTGAATAATAACCATAGTATTTAGCCCAGGTTTGCCCTCAGTACATTATAGCCCTTCATATGCACTTGAAAAGTAAAAATGGTTCCCTCTGTTAAAGTGAACAATGCTTCCTCCTACTCCTCACTTTAATTCTTAGCAGCATTCATGGATTCTTTTCAACAAGAGTCCCTCCATCAGTCAGAGACTCCGTTACATTTCTGTCCTCTGTCTGGTTCCCACAAATGGAGGCCAGTGGGTGCGTCTTCAAAATTAACAAATGAACAAATAATAACAATAATAATAATCTAAAAAATAAAAATACACAGTCTGTCTGAATCTACGAAATTCACCAGAGATTGGAAAAAAAGGGGGATGCTACTGTTATCCATGGGTATTAAAAAATCCCTAAAGACTAGCTGTACAAAGTTCAGTGTTTCCTCAAAGAGGAGCTCTGGAGGTCGTCTGCAGTCACGTAAGACTGTTTTGTTTTTGCACAAAGGCTGTGGGCACACGGGGTCAATCGAGCCCCATCTCCTGTAATTTAATGTCATCATAGTAATCACTGCAAACTTCAGGCCTGTACTCTCTAAATGCTTCTTCCATAAAACCCCCCAAGACTGGTAAAGTTTGAAGCCAAATCATGGCTATGCCATAAAAGAAAAAAAAAAGTGAATTGACTTGTAATTACTGCTAAAACCTGTCAAAAAGTAACCATCTCCTGTGCAAAAAGGAAAGAATTAGGCATCTTTTAAGGAAAGGACTGATCCCAACAGAGTACGACGGAGCACTGAACAAAGGACACGCGTTGAGAAGTCTCCTCCTGCTACGTTCAAACACCAGAAACGCAGAGGATTTAACTGTTCGGCGACAGAAGACCAACGTGCGTTTCATCTTTTTTTCCTGGCGCATGTGTTGACGTGCCGAGCGCTGCTCTTCGCCGCATTACTGTCATCCAGGGGCGCTTGTGCCCTCCCATCGATCCAAGGACTGGACAAGAATCCGTGGGGATCTACGGCGCATGTGTGTCGGCCGTCTTTCCCTCGGGCGGACAGGTTCGAGCGGTCTATCGATCCCGTGCTGTTGCATTTCTTCATCGCTGTGGGCGCCAGAGGGCCCGGGGCGAGCAGCGACGTGAGGGACAGACTGTTGAGCGTTTCCGACAACTGTTCGCTGCAGAGGGCCTGGTGGCAGCCGTCTCTTCCCGTCCCCGTCCCCACCTCCTCATCTGAAGGGTCCACGCAGTCCTGCTGGGGGCAGCTTGGACCCCTGCTTCCACCGCCGCCGCTGCTGTGGCTCCTCTGTTTCCTCCGAGTGGCAGAGCTCTGTCCGCTCAGCGGTGGCTGCCCCCGGTCCGCTGGGGGCTGTTCTTTAGGGCGCAACGCAACGGCGGGGACCGGGCGGAGGACGGGCACGGGGAGATCCAGATGTCGAGGTGGGCACACGCCAAAGCCGAGCCCTTCATCCGGCGCGGCCTGCAGGCTGCCATCTGAACTGCCTGGGGCCAAGGACGAGTCGCTGTGCGATGGATGCTGCACAAAGAGAATCATTGCTGAGTTTTTGAACAGTTAATGCATTTCATTACACACAGTGATATTTTTCTATTTTCTTTTTCTTTCTCTGTTGATAATTGTGCAGCGACTGAAAACCCAAAGTTATGATAATCTGAATACTGCAAAAGAGAAAAATGAAGAGTTTTATACAACAGAATGCCTGTTGTTCCAGAAATGATTGCTGTAAACGATGATATTGTCATTTTGGCTGTTTTCAACAACTACAATAATAATGGCTTAATAATGAAAGTACACTCAAAGAATAAAAATCTCTATCTATCCATCTACCTTTCTATCTGTCTCTCATGTATGTATTTTGAACCAAAGTTAAACTGACATGAGTGAATCCAAGACTAATAAGGCTCATAAGGGACACATGAAGAGAAAGAGCAGCAGGGAGGGAGAAAAAGGCAACATGGGAGACAGTAAGGAACCAGAGCAGGGGGGGAAACGGCGTGCAGCGTCAGTATCAGGCTCTGGGCTGGCTAGGCTAATTAGCCGAGCGCCCCAGAGCATTACTGTAGCAGCTGAGGATCACAGAGCCAGCCAGGCATGAGCTAAACAAACCGAGCAGGTACACGAGAAGATGGGAAGAAAAAAAAAATAAAAATCTGTTTCCATGGTTACAAAAAGAGCAAGAACTAAAAAAAGCTCCTCTTTTTTTTTTTTTATTCTGGGTTGTTTCATGCAGAAGCCAACAAAAGGCAGTGTGTTGGTTTCACTGTGGAGTAGATTCTCATTAAACAGTGATAAGAAATGTTCAGCTGCAGAAAAAAATCTAAACAAACACAGTTATTGTCTGAATGAAAGGCCAGACTGAAAACTCTCACTACACTCAGGTAAGGGTGGATTTAAAGGCAAAAACCAACAGATTTATATTAGTGGAAGTCCAAAACATCTGGGACTGAAGATCCTTGGATTCAAGGACATTAAAGCGTCAAGACGAGACCCATGGAAAACATAACTAGATGGGTTTTCCTTGTTTAAAAGAGAACAGCGTTGTGTTTTCACCTGAGAGCTCAGAGGCCTGCTGTTGGCTCCGGGGGAGCGTAGAGAGGCCCAGGAGGCGGGGGACGCCAGCCGGGACGGGCCCATGTCCCTCGGCCTCATGCCGTCCCCGTGAGCGTCTGACTGCGCTGCGGCGGCTGGGTGGAAGAAGTCTGCTGGCAGCTGAATCACGGGTGAAGCCGCATCGACAGCCCCACTGCGTGTGTTTTCACCGCCTTCTGCGGAAGGAAGGCGACGTTTCAGTAGAGATCGGCTTCTATAAATACATCAAAATGAATCGGACCATCTTTATTCTGGACGCGGCGAAGGGTCTAAAGCGCAAAAAGGCAAAAAAAACAACAACAACAAAAAAAAAAACGCAAAAAGAGATTGAAGGCGACACGTTGCAATGAGAGATAATCTACATGAGTTTCCTGAGCACTGCAGGGCATGCGGGAACAAAAACATCTCCAAACAGATGGCTAGCATTACTCCATGTGGCACGTCAAGTTGTGGCCCCGTACCATCAATGCACGCCGCATAAAGTTTCTGCGTGCTGCTTCCTGTGCGCCGCCGTCGCCACAGATGGGCCGTTTACAGAAGGCTTTAAAAAGAGCTATTTTCACACATCTTGAGCACTCATCCGAATTTCCTGATCAGCATTTTAGCGCGTGTATACATCATACCACACTGCCTATAAGTGTCATCAGATGCGTCATCATTTTTGTAAAGTCAGCATTTAACCTCATGTTGAGTCAAGGAGAAGTCAGGAGGTTTCAGATTCTTATCTGCCTCATTTCTAACAATCTGATTTGTTCTCATTTTTGCCATTTTTCTTAAAGCTGCACTATGGAGCTATAAGTAAATAAATATGTTTTTTTTTTTTACATATGTGTTCAAATTATCATTATTTTGTGACAGTATGGTACGAGACAGAAAACCTGTCT